GAGAGAGAGCGAGAGAGAGGGGGGAGTGAGAGCGAGAGGGAGAGGGAGAGAGGGAGCTAGATAGAGATTAGAATAGTCTGCCATTCACTGCCTTCTGAAGCAACTCCATCGGCAGCTGTGCCTGACGGCATTCCTTTGAAAAACTCTCAAAAACTGTGGCCACTAATGGAGAGCGCTGCTCTATAATACTCGACAGTTTGTCAAGCACGCCACATGTAGTGCCCCCATGAAGCCTCACTGACGAATGCAATAGAGGGCTCTTGGTGGGGGTCACACGTTTTCACCGCTCCGGTGGTCTTCGGTTCTGTATTTCAGTGGGGCTAAAACTCTCAAAAGGTTGAGGTGCTACAATTACAGTTGGTCTCGGTTCTTTCCACACAGCAATCTGTGCATGTTTTAAGTTGTGTCGTAGCTGGGTCGGGAAGTAGTCGCCACTCCCCTGCCCGTCCCTAATCCACCTCGGATAAACATATCACACGCAAATCAGCTGCATCCTGAGCTGGCATGTGTGCGGTGGCGTGCCGGGCTGCTCACACGGCCCTGGCCGAGCTGGCCGGCGCAGCGCCGCGAGGCTGCGTCGCCTGGTGACGCTGACGTCCGGCGGCGGGGTCGAGAGGCTGCGTCGCCTGGTGACACCGACGTCCGGCAGCGGGGTCGCGAGGCTGCGTCGCCTGGTGACGCCGACGTCCGGCGGCGGGGTCGCGAGGGCTGCGTCGCCTGGTGACGCTGACGTCCGGCGGCGGGGGTTCGAGAGGCTGCGTCGCCTGGTGACGCCGACGTCCGGCAGCGGGGTCGCGAGGCTGCGTCGCCTGGTGACGCTGACGTCCGGCGGCGGGGTCGAGAGGCTGCCTCGCCTGGTGACACCGACGTCCGGCAGCGGGGTCGCGAGGCTGCGTCGCCTGGTGACGCCGACGTCCGGCGGCGGGGTCGTCACGGCCCCGGCTCACAGGGTGCGCAGCTGGGCCAGACTCGGCGCGGCGGAGGCAGGGGCTCGCTGTGGCGCACGGCGCGGGGCCCTGTATCACGCTCCGTGGGCGTGCGGTGGACGACCACTGGATCCCAGCGCTGGCCAGTTGTCTGCCCGCGATGCCTCAGTAGAATCTGATGAAATGGGCCAGGGTGGCTGGTTTGCGACACTGATCATTCCCTACTCGGTGCGGCTGGCACGGTCCACCTCGTAGCCTTGCAATCATAATGGTGCGGGAGCTGAACTAGCAACAGCTGCTGCAGACAGCGTGCTCAGGATGAAAATATCGAGCCGGTGATCCCGCACCGAAGCTCTGCCTTTCCTGCGAATCTCTCTCTGCCAGGTGAGCCGACAGCGAGCCACAGAGCCAGCTGAAGGCCACGCTTGCATCGTGTCTCAGTCGCGTGACGGCAGTCTCTCCAGCTCCAAACACAGGTAGCTCTGGCCGCCCCCAGCTGCGTGCCGCGCCGCGCTGTAGCAGCGAGGGCCGCTCTGCAGGAGCGGCCGGTGATCCTATCCCGCTGCGGTCCCGCCGCCCTCTGCGCGGGAAGAATGACCCCGTGCGTCCCGCGCGTGACGCTGGGCAAGACGCGGAGGCTGCTGTCGTGACCCAGGACCCCCGCTCAGGTGGCCGGCCAGACCCGGCGTGACCCAGGACCCCCGCTCAGGTGGCCGGCCAGACCCGGCGTGGGCTGCGGCCGGCGTGGGACGTAGAAGGGTCAGCCAAAGACGGGGGCACACAATATTGGAGAATAGCCGCGAACTGGGAGGGGGAGGTGACCGCTCCTCGAAACACAATGTCACATGCTTGACATGCAGTTTTGCTAGTCATGTGAGAGACAACTTCTCCCTTACATTCCTGCACGCTTCCATTGGCTGGCTGAGAGGCATTCTTTCGGAACGTCGCGAGACTGCAGCAGACTGGGACTACCCAGCCCGGCGCCGGCTCCAGCCTCACTGCTAAGGTCTTTGACTCTGCTGAAGCCGGCGTCCTCCCACCCCCGCACCGTCCCGTGCCCTCCGGCTGTGTACAGAGGCTAAGCCGTCTCTGACACCTCTTGTTGTGGTAGCCAGCCGCCGAGGCCGCCGAGGCGGCGTGTGCGGAGCGCCGTTATTCCTGTCGTATTCGGCGCGAAGGGGGCCCTTGAGGGAGCACCGAGCTGTTCAACAGGTCGGGTAGGTCCAAACATGACCCCACGCTGCAGGGCCGTATGGAACCTGGAGGTGCTTCAAAGGCCTCCCTTCTTCACTTTGTAGGAAGATGGGACCGGTAAAGGTTACCTTCGTTAGAGCGTGCCGTTGCACATCACAGTCGAGAATCCCCCATTATTATCTGTACCTGCCCGTCCCCCTACGCCCCATCGAGTGCCGCCTTCCGGATGTGAGCCTGGGTGCGCCCCTGGCCGGGGGCGGCGTGCCGCCGCGGCCGGCGCGTTGTTGCGCGATGCGTCAAGCCGGACATGCGCTCTGGAGCGGCCCGGGGCGCGCTCGAGCCGCGTGACACGGCACTACCTCCAACTGTGGTGAGGTGCGCGCCGCTGGGTGGTCCGCCCACGGCGTATCGAACCCGCCCTTCGCCGCGTGAGGCCGGGTCACGCGACCGGCGGCGGCGCCATCGGCACGAGCCGACTGCTCTTATTTCCAGTCATAGCTGTCCGTTCACGTCATTGTCTTATCTGTGGAGCGCTACGGCTTACTTGTTAGATGACGGCTCACAGCCCGCCTTCGGGCGCTCCTGGTAGCGCCCCTGCACGCCGGCTGGCCAGCTGTCCGGGCCGTCGCGGGTCGGGCGGCCGGCCTCTGCCGCCGCCGCCAGTCCCGCCGACGGCGACCGGCGGCAGCTGCCGGTCGCCTGATACGATCAGGGAGGAGCCGCCCCGGTGCCGCCTCGGCGCGCCGACAGATCAGTACCACGGCCTCGAGCACACCGCGCCAACAAAGGACGGCCACGCCGCTCTGTTTGCCTGTTGGTTTGGTCGCACCCTCGCAGCACCCCCTCCCCCCCCCCCGCCGTCGCTGGGCGGGCTGGAGCTAGCCGCGGGAGTAACGCCGAGACGGAAGTGCGGATGCGCGGCGCATCCGGAAAAAGCAACAGGGACCTGTGGCCTGGTTGGCGACTGCGCAGGTCGCACCAGCATGCTATACTCTAAACGGTCCTGCGCGTTGGATGTCGTGGCAGGATCGTCTGGGAGCGAGAGAACCAACATACATTGCACGATTTTACAAAAAAAAACAAACATTTTGGTCGGCCGTTGAGCTGAGGTGACATTTCTGTTTAGAGAAGACATTTCCCTTAGCACATATGGCTGCGCAGAGCAGGCCTGGGGCGTTCATTTCACTTCATCCTGAAGCTGATGCTGTAATGCTTTTGTCGACGGGACAGTTTGTATCTTGAAGATGCAGCTAAAGAAATAATTTATTTCACCAAAAATAAACATTAACGACTTATTTGTTTTGGCAATATGCTTCATTTCTATGTAGTTGATCTAATAGCAAGTTTCACATAATTATTCAACTCAGCAACAGATGTCGATAGAATGTCAGAATAACTATGGCTAAATCGAGCGTATGTGAAACGTACGCTCTTCTATGAAACTATTCCTAAAAAGGGAATGGTTTCATTGCGTAAGACACCATAGTTTGTGTTAAGACCATACAAATCACCACCTTAGAAGACGTGATGAAGGAATGTATATTTTATTAGAGAGGGAATGAAGAAATGTGAGGAAGAATGCGTGTGTGCGTGTGTGCGTATGTGTGTTTGTGTGTGCGTGAATGCGTGTGGATGGAGGTGGTGTGTACTCCGGAGCACCAGGGTACTGCCAGGGTAACAAGTGTGAGTGAAGAGGTGCAAGTTAGCAACAGTTGGCTGTGCTGTGTTGCTGTAGAGCAAATGGGAACGCATTCATCTGGGAGTATAAATGGACGTGAGTGCATGTGAGAGTGCGTGGGCTCTTTGATCTAAACTGATACTCTTCTGGCTATGGTAACTGCAACGCTAGCGTCATAGCCTCAGACACGAGTGTTCACTGCTGGGCGATTTTTCGCTGGTGGCACGCTACCGTTTTTGCAGGGCTGGAAACCGGCTGGAGGAATCCCGCAGTCTCCGGCAGTCGCGGTCATCAGACAGTCTCTGGCGCTGCTCAGGACGCCTGTCGGAGAGTGTACGTGACGCGTCGGCCGGCCTGGCTGTGGCCGGCTGCTGCCACTCAATATGAACTGCTTTCGGAAAGCGAATAACAACTATCTGTGCAAGATCGTTCTTCTAGACGGACAGGAACTGACTCAAAACATCCGGGTGAGTAACACACACCGTTTTCCCTGTAGACAGCGTTCATTGTCACTTCGTCTATGTAGTTTCCATTTTGTCGTCAGCAAAGCCGGACGTTTGCCGAGCGATCTGCAATGTTCAGGCGACCGCAGCGTCTTTTGAGGTTGGGGCTATGCGGGACAAAACACGAGGGCTTAAAAAGTGCATGCTTTGACCAGCATGAAAGCACATCACAGAATAATTAACAACAACAGTGGAATCATAACAGCAGAGGCGACAAGCTACAAACGCTGGTAACCCTTGGCATGGATCTTTGCTTCTCCAGCAGCATTATCAGAACAAGGAGGCACGACGCGTCGGGTGAGCCGAGTGCATTTGAGATAAATCTGCTGTATGTGTCAAGTGACGATTTGTGATAATAACGGTCATAAGTTTTGAAGGGCCGAGTAGACAACAGAATGTTCAGGCACCTTCACTGTAGTAAATTATGTATATCAGGCGTTTTATGCTGCCTTTGCTGTCTATAGGTGTGATGACATCCAATTACGTCTACTTTCACTGATATTTCCTTAGATCATGGTTAGAAACGCCTCTGATGGCCAGCTGAAGCCACTTGGTGCGCAAGAACCGAATTAGTCAGTTTAATCTGAACCGTAGTTAGATCAGAATGTACGGAGATTACCGTGCTGACTCCAGTATGTTTATCGCTGCTTCAGGAGTAAGGGAGCGCTATCAGACATGGTCAAAGTGGTAATAAACGCTCTCACTGTTATTGGATTGTGTGGGACAAAGGACATTTTTGACTGCGCGAATGTGGTGCTGTGCCAGTTTGGGTTCCGCAGCACTTGCTGGCGACTGCGATGCGGAGCAGTGTAATCGGCGGTGACTGCAACGCAATAATAGCAATAACACACTACAAACCACTCCCAATGGTGGTCGCGAGCACGCAAAAATTTTTTTAGCGATGCTCGCAGCGTCCAAAACAATGAAAAGTTGCGGTGAAATACGCCCGTGTCAACTGAATACACGTCAGTGGCCTAACGAAAATCTCCGACTTTCTCCGACACCTCTGTGCTGGAGAATGTACCGCCCGCGCCGTAAACTGCTCCATCAGCCTGTCTGTGCCGGAGTATTCCTGGCGAACGGGCGACCCATCGTGCAGTGAACTCCTCCGGTGCCCTCTCTGTGCGTGGGCATTTCCGTCACGCTGGCGGACTGGTGTGTCAATAACTCCCAATGAGTTTCTCTGCGCCGGGCCTTTTCTGGGTTCAAGTTTGAGCGTCCGTCGCGACCTTCCGTCGAATTCAGCCCGGCGCCGACGACACGGTATCACGGCTGGTCTGCGCTGGCCCAGGCGCCGCGGCCGTTTTATGGTCTATTGTGCGAGGCGCGGCGGTGCGGTCGGCGCCGCCACGTGCGTCAGGCCGGCCTCTTTATGACCCCGGACGCCGGGCCCCCGAGGCATGCCTCGCCACCGGAATGCCGGCTGACGAGCCCGCGGAGAGGACACAGCTGGGTCACGGCCGGGTCTGTGGTCAACACATTTCGAAACAGATCTGTACCGACGCAGGGCGTGGTGATCTGTGACAACTGCCGCTGGCAGGGTGTCGGTCAGTGTTCGCTGGCAGCTGTCAGAGGTAAAGGACGCTGAAGTTGTCACATATGAAATTCAGAACAGAAGCAGCTGTTGCACTGTATGAAAACTATTTCTTTGCGACACAAAAAGCCGGTCGAAAGTGAAACAGCATGAACACTACAAAAATTTTATGCCAGCTGGCATAGTGGCACACAAAATGTGACATTACTATGACGGCTGTGACAACCAAAACAGCGCAAATTGCCTCAGGGAATTAAGGCTTGATATCTTGCGTTATTCGTTGTTTTATGCACATAACTCACCGTCAACATACTGCGGAATGAAGCTGCGGCAAGAACGTTTAGATGGGTACATATCCGATGTGTGGTCACCTAACCAACACTTTTCGCGATGAAAGTAAGACTTGCTTCGGAAAAATACATTCTCCCGGGTTCTACCTCACTCTGCTACATTTAGCAACAAAAAACTTAGCTGTCACGTGTGTGGGTTGGTACGTTTACTGGTTTTTAAAATCCGAATGGTACATGGTTCAGTGTTAGATTCGGTTCGTTAAGCTCAGGGGTTCGATGTCACGTTCTGCAGGTATAATGGACGTGGCCCCGCCACGGCACAGTTTAAGGGCAGCTTTAACGGTAGTTTGATAGGCTTTCTTAACATTTTAAAGCTATTAGGATCACATACTATTTTGATCTAATGGTGTTTTGGAGTTTTCTCTCAAAAAGCAATTTTGCCTATCCCTGACGTGTTTGAAAAAAGCATTGCATGAACGTGTCTGGTGACGTTATCGATGACAAACAATTCACCAAATACAGCAGTTCATATTCATCACCTAATGTGGCAAGAAAACGAGCCACAAAATGTTACAAAACATTGAAACATCAAGTAATGTTGCCTTATCCAGAGCACCGCGTCATTCGTACCAGTGTGTATTCCAAAGTGAGCCCCCCGCCAAACCAAAGTCCATTTCGTCCATTACGTCACGCCCATAGCGACGCGGTACTTCACGTCCATAGCACCGCTCGCCACGCTCGCGGTGCTGCTGCAGCACGGGGTGCAGCTACCAGCAGCAGCGTATAGTTTCCAGCAGCGTGCTGCGTTCAGCGCCAGTGCGTCAGCACCGCGTCATTCGACGTCGGCTTATTAAGCCGCCAGCGGTGCGGACGGTGCCGTGTCGCGACGCGCGCCCTGTCCAAATGTCGCAGCACGTGCAGACGCGTGGCGTGCCACTGCCATCGGCACGCCGATGCGGGGCTCCAGTCCGCGCCGACTTGATGCGACACGTGTCGCCAGGCGTGACAGGGGCAGGCATGCTTGATGCACACGCGCGTGTCAGGACGACAGCGGAGCGTGTGGGCGCAGGCCAAGTGGAGCGGTGTTTTCTTCGGAGCCAGGTGCGCAACTCCGGCACAGACCAGGCGTGGCTGGTGATCAGCTGCCGCCCTCTGTCTGTGAATGTTATTAGCACGCATTAGCTGGTCATCGACCTGCAGCTTGTTCCGGGTACGCACGAGTTCACAGCAGCTTCAGTGTCACTCGAGGCGTAGATAGTGCTAATTTGCATTGCTTGTAACAAGTTCCCAGATATTGAGTGGGCGTGTTTCGTATGCAGATAAGCCACTTCATCATGGCACAAGCTGATCTATCAGAGCTGCAATCGGTCAATGTGAAAACGAACTGTGCGAACTGTGATCAAATCCAGGGCTTTCTATCACGATACTCTCAACTGTGCCCGTGCAAAATCAGGTTTCGAACACTTGTGATTCATTATTGGTATGCGGTCTGCATTTTTTGTGGTGTTTTTTTTGCGACACGCTGCAGAGTTAATACCACAGCTACTTTTTATTCGGCAAGGGAAATCTTCCATTGCTATTAAGTTACGTTACTTTAGTCTCAGCTGTCACCTTGCAAAAAGCCAGCCTGCACCGCTGTCTGTCCCAGTTCGACCGACCGGCCGGACGGGTTCACCCGCCGTCAGCTCTGCCAACGAGCTCATCTGCAAGCCCCGCCTCCCCAGCCGCCTCCCCCAGGTTTCCCCTGCCCTGCCTCTCCACCTCTACCTCCCAGTCTTGCCTCCCCAGCCCCACCTACAACCAGCCCTGTCGCCCGGGCACTGCCGGCCCCAGTCCCTTCTGTCCAGCTGCACGGGCTCCGCTCCGCTGCACCTACTCCAGTCCTGACTTCCTTTCACCGCTCGCCCGCCTTCCCAGCCATGTCTGTTGGAAGAGCAGAGCTTCGCTTACAGCGCTTCCCCACCTGAGCTCCCCAGGTCGGCTGGTCTCGCCAGGTCGACTGGGCTCCTCAGGTCAGCTCATCCCCTAGATCAGCTGGTCTCCCCAGGTCAGCTGGGTTCCTCAGGTTGGTTGGGCTCGTCAGGTCAGCTGATATTCCAGGCCAGCCGGTTTCTCCAGGTCAGCTGGGCTCCTCAGGTCGTTTGGCCCCCCAGGTCGGCTGGGCTCCCAGGTCGGCTGGGCTCCCAAGGTCAGCTGGGCTCCTCAGGTCGGCTGGACTCTCCAGGGTTGCTCGCGTGCCACCGGCATCGCCGCTGTCGGCGCCTGTCCGACGGCGTGGGCCGCTGAGCAGGATGACGGCGGCGGCGGAATGTCGGCTGCGCGGCGCGTGTCGACGCCCTGCCGCGCGCCGCCCGGACCGGACCGGGCCCATTAGCGGCAGGCCGGTCCGCCCCTCGGCGGTGTGAACTGGCCCGCCGACGGACGCCGACCTGCTCGTCCAGGGCCCGGTCAGCAGAGCCGGCGGGCCTGTTCAGAGACCCGGTCAGCAGAGCCGGCGGGGCTGCTCAGAGGCCCGGTCAGCAGAGCCGGCGGGCCTGTTCAGAGACCCGGTCAGCAGAGCCGGCGGGGCTGCTCAGAGGCCCGGTCAGCAGAGCCGGCGGGGCTGCTCAGAGGCCCGGTCAGCAGAACCGACGGGGCTGCTCAGAGGTCCGGTCAGCAGAGCCGGCGGGGCTGCTCAGAGACCCGGTCAGCAGAGCCGGCGGGGCTCTTCAGAGACCCGGTCAGCAGAGCCGGCGGGGCTGCTCAGAGGTCCGGTCAGCAGAGCCGGCGGGGCTGCTCGGAGGTCCGGTCAGCAGAGCCGGCGGGGCTCTTCAGAGACCCGGTCAGCAGAGCCGGCGGGGCTGCTCAGAGACCCGGTCAGCAGAGCCGGCGGGGCTCTTCAGAGACCCGGTCAGCAGAGCCGGCGGGGCTGCTCAGAGGCCCGGTCAGCAGAGCCGGCGGGGCTGCTCAGAGGCCCGGTCAGCAGAGCCGACGGGGCTGCTCAGAGGTCCGGTCAGCAGAGCCGACGGGGCTGCTCAGAGGTCCGGTCAGCAGAGCCGGCGGGGCTGCTCGGAGGTCCGGTCAGCAGAGCCGACGGGGCTGCTCGGAGGTCCGGTCAGCAGAGCCGGCGGGGCTGCTCGGAGGTCCGGTCAGCAGAGCCGGCGGGGCTGCTCGGAGGTCCGGTCAGCAGAGCCGACGGGGCTGCTCAGAGGTCCGGTCAGCAGAGCCGGCGGGGCTGCTCGGAGGTCCGGTCAGCAGAGCCGACGGGGCTGCTCGGAGGTCCGGTCAGCAGAGCCGGCGGGGCTGCTCGGAGGCCCGGTCAGCAGAGCCGACGGGGCTGCTCGGAGGTCCGGTCAGCAGAGCCGGCGGGGCTCTTCAGAGACCCGGTCAGCAGAGCCGGCGGGGCTGCTCGGAGGCCCGGTCAGCAGAGCCGGCAAGGGTGCTCAGAGACCCGGTCAGCAGAGCCGGTGAGGCGCTTCAGAGACCCGGTCAGCAGAGCCGGCGGGGCTGCTCGGAGGCCCGGTCAGCAGAGCCGGCGGGGCTGCTCGGAGGCCCGGTGAGCAGGGTAGCCGGACGCACCTCTCACTGCTGGGGAGAAGCTGGCGCCAGCCGGCTTAAGCCACAGGGTTTGGCTGGTACCGTTCAAAGGCAGCCGCCGCTGGCAGTAAGCCTCGGCGGCGGACTCCACTCGCCGAGAAAGGCTGCGCTGAGGTCACAGATTAAGACATCGGGCTAGGCTTTTGGATGGGTTTAGCAGAGCTCCTTAAATTTAGCAGGCAGGCACCGAGCCGACGAGGGTTTATACAGCGAAGGGTTCACCTTTGCAATTGCAACACAGAAAGCTTGCAAACGGGCTGTAATATTTTAAGGCTGTCTGTTCTCCGTGGAGCAGAGTGTTTCATGACTTAGGATAGCACTGATTTTGAATGGCATGGTTCACTGTTTGATGCCACTCAGTCGCGCTTCGTTCAACAACAAAGGAACATTACGGGGAAAGAAGCACACCGCATGATGTTTTGTCGCACAGGGTCATATGAGCAAAGCAGCTCGCCAGCTAGAAGGCAAGAAGCTTGCAAATAAACTCCCTTTGCGCTCAGGGGTCCCAATAAAGATCTTAATGCGTAACATTGCGTTATTTACAACCCCCCACCAACCATGAGGTTGTGCCCATACCTACCCGCTGCCCATTCCTAATCAGTTATGTTCGGGTCTTGACTTTGGAAAAGCTGCGGGGAAGTTGACAGCCATACTTACTCTTTCGCGCCAATGACTGTAAACGTAGTGTACGTGGAGCTAATTGTGACCAAAATAAGCGCTGGCAGTAATATCGTATAGTGCGTACGCAATCGCTAGTGGACATCTCGCCCACACCTGTACCTTTTGCCGCAATCTTCCTCAAATATGCACCCGATCCGACCCGTGACCAGTTCCACACGGGTACCCGCAGACGTACCCAGCTTGTGAAGTTAGGGGGCTGGTCCCACGTTGACATTGTGGTGGCATTCAAACTGGATACGGGCCACCAAATAATGTCGCGTAATAAGAGGACAGTCGGAGTTGGAGGTCAGGCAGCTCTCTATTCCGTGACTCCACGCGTTTTGCTAGCTCAGTGTTTATCTCAGTGAAAATTGTATATTCGACCAATATTGTCAAGACGCTTCTTATATACGGGATTGAGCAGATTTATTACATTTAGTCTTGCTTGTCTCTTGTTAAATCGAAGAAGTGGTGCTTAACGCCGTTTGCCATATCACGAAACGATTTTAGGCATGTTTGGGTGTGGGCTTCGAAATTGAAACTGCAAGCGTCCAGTAGCACTGGCGCTGGACTATATAACAGCTTTGTAAAATTGGATCCATTTCCAATCGTTTTTGGCCAATCTTTTCATGGAATTCTGCCCTCCCAGGACCGACCTTTCAATAGCTGGTGCTAGTGAACTCACCCAAAAAACAAAACAAAACAAAACAAAACAAAACAAAAAACGAAGAGCGGAAGCGCATCGGCATTTTGCGCTTACATTTGGCATCGGCCGATGCTGTTGTGCTGACTACACGAAGTTCAGTCTATAGTCGCTTCCAGTGACTTCACAAGTGACAGTAATAGCAGGTAGTTCAAAGTACGGTAACAGTCTAGGCATGACAGTTCCGAGATATTCCCCGCCTGTAGTCCCACCGGATGCTGCTTTTGCCACCTTGACCTTAACATGATCTATTCCATTGACCTCAGCATTGCTGTTCGACGCCATCCGGCCCTTAGGGCACAACATACATGAGCACGCTAAATACCGGCAGACATCAACCGGAAGCCATCGATAAGAGAGATATGGACTCGCAGAATGCTGACTAGCCAAATTTTAGGACCGTTGAATATAGAAACGCAATTTTGTAACACCGCAAAATCTCAGCATCGAAAAATACCGACGTGCAATATATATACAAAATGCTGCCACCTTCAACTATTTATTTCAACTATTTGTGGCAATGACAATATGAACAAGTGTTCCGCGCCTGATAAAAATGGGACAGCTATAAGATCACTGATACCTGATGAGATACTGATATTGATTTCATCTATCATACTACACACCGATCATAATAACATGGAAAGCCTTTGACGCACCGATTTCAACACGTGACGTAAGGCTTGCTTTGAACTGTATGCATTTTGGTTAATGCAAGCGTGCAATGCGCGGCGATAGTCATCGAGGCTGTCTTTTGCTTCAGACGCGAGCAACAATGAAGGTAGGTAATCTGACAAAATCTGGCATTTTAACATTGGAGTTAAAAAAATGCGGCTTCTGTTTCCGCAAGAGCCCTGCTTTACAAAGGCCGGCGCTGACGACACCCGTAGCGCGGTCGGGCCGGTCGGGTCCGGGCCGCCAGCTGGGATACAGAGCCACCCCCGCGCGCCGCCGCCGGCTCCCGTCTGAGATACAGAGCCGCCTCGGCGCGCCGCCGCCGGCTCCCGTCTGGGCTACAGAGCCGCATTGGCGCGCCGCCGCCGGCTCCCGTCTGGGATACAGAGCCACCCCCGCGCGCCCCCGCCGGCTCCCGTCTGAGATACAGAGCCGCCTCGGCGCGCTGCCGCCGGCTCTCGTCTGGGCTTCAGAGCCGCCTCGGCGCGCTGCCGCCAGCTCCCGTCTGGGCTACAGAGCCGCCTTGGCGCGCCGCCGCCGGCTCCCGTCTGAGATACAGAACCGCCTCGGCGCGCTGCCGCCAGCTCCCGTCTGGGCTACAGAGCCGCCTTGGCGCGCCGCCGCCGGCTCCCGTCTGAGATACAGAACCGCCTTGGCGCGCCGCCGCCGGCTCCCGTCTGGGCTACAGAGCCGCCTTGGCGCGCCGCCGCCGGCTCCCGTCTGGGCTACAGAGCCGCCTTGGCGCGCCCCCGCCGGCTCTCGTCTGGGCTACAGAGCCGCCTTGGCGCGCCGCCGCCGGCTCCCGTCTGGGCTACAGAGCCGCCTTGGCGCGCCGCCGCCGGCTCTCGTCTGGGCTACAGAGCCGCATTGGCGCGCCGCCGCCGGCTCCACTCTGGGCTACAGAGCCGCCTTGGCGCGCCGCCGCCGGCTCCCGTCTGGGCTACAGAGCCGCCTTGGCGCGCCGCCGCCGGCTCCCGTCTGGGCTACAGAGCCGCCTTGGCGCGCCGCCGCCGGCTCCACTCTGGGCTTCAGAGCCGCCTTGGCGCGCCGCCGCCGGCTCCCGTCTGGGCTACAGAGCCTCCCCGGCGCGCTGCTGCTAGCTGCCGTCTGGGCTTCAGAGCCGCCTTGGCGCGCTGCCGCCGGCTCCTGGCACGGGTTTGGGATGCCGCACCCACCGCGCTTCTGCCGGGGGCTTAGTCGCCATTCTGCGGCCAGTTTTGAGATGTGGTGTCCTTCGGCCGCGGTGCAGCTTCTGGGCTTAGGTTGCCCAGGAGCCCTAGGCTGGGTTCCTGGGCCATATGGCTATCGACTTGAATAGGCATTTGCCAGCACGCATGTCTGCCATCAGGCTCGGTGCATCATGAGCGGCGATCTCGATGAAGGGATCAGGGAACCAAAATGAATAACATCGAGTGACGGTGGATTAATTGCCAGGCTGAGGTATTCCGATGTGCGCAGATAAGAAAACAGTCCGTGCACGTGCAGCGGCCCGCTGCATGTCATGTGCATAAAAATGCCCGATCTGTGCTGCCCGCTGGCTGAGCCTGATGTTTTATGCCGCGTATGCAGTTCAACACAGCTGTATGCTTTAGGTTATGTAAATCCGAGGAGTTCAGGGGCCGCGCGATCTCAGTCAAACCACTGGCCCGTGACGCGTCTGGAGGCAAGAACCGAGCTCTTCTACTAAACACTGAACCACTGGCCCGTGACGCGTCTGGAGGCAAGAGCCGAGCTCTTCTACTAAACACTGAACCACTGGCCCGTGACGCGTCTGGAGGCAAGAACCGAGCTCTTCTACTAAACACTGACCAGTGGCCCGTGACGTGTCTGGAGGCAAGAACCGAGCTCTTCTACTAAACACTGAAACCACTGGCCCGTGACGCGTCTGGAGGCAAGAACCGAGCTCTTCTACTAAACACTGAACCACTGGCCCGTGACGCGTCTGGAGGCAAGAACCGAGCTCTTCTACTAAACACTGAACCACTGGCCCGTGACGCGTCTGGAGGCAAGAACCGAGCTCTTCTACTAAACACTGACTGTCTTCGTGACAAATGAACAGCATAACATAAGCTCTGACTTGACACTTGCATTGCTGATACTGACATGACCGACACATGCATGCATGCCATTGTTCTCTCCAACGTCGAATGCGCAGATGTCCTTTCGCCCTCGGCTGGTTTCCAGACGACGTGTGTCTCCACCTGACTCTCGCCTGTCCGCTACGAGTAGCTCGTCGGCAGCTGTTTCTCTGCAAGATGGTATTTGAGCTCGCTTACGGCTTCCAAGTAAAATCACAGGCTTGGCCCGAGTCTGGGAGCTAGCGGGCGACGACAGTAATGAGATGCAATGTCCCTGAATCAGGGTGCAGCCTGAGTCTAGTCGGTCTGTTTTCAGGATGACACCTTGGGACAGGAGCTTTCGGACAGCGTGTTTCGACATCTGCACTTGCGTGAAACCGCCTACTTCGGTCTGAGATTCGTGCACACCACTCAACAACCGGTGAGAGCTGCAGTCCTCCGTCTACCCTGCCCTCCCCCCCCCCCCCCCCCCACCGCTCTCACCAGGACAGCCAGTGCGTGTCGGTGCACTGTGAAGTAGCCGGTGCACCTTCTCGGACGCCCAGTGAGACTGCCCAGCCCGCTGCTACATGACAAACGCAGATGATGCGACACGCGTGCACGACCACTCACGAGAGCGCACGACTCTGGGCGGCTTGCGAGACCGCCGCGTACCTTCCAGCGAGTAGTGGGACTCCCGCCAGTCCTCCACCGGCCGGTCAGACTGGCCGGCCGGTGAGAGACGCGCGCGCGAGCGCAAGATCGGCCCAGCCCGTTAGCCTCGCCGGTTCAATGAACGGGTAACTCTGGCGGTAGCCAGCACGCTCGTTAATCCATTATGTGATCGCCAAACAGCATTGTGTTCTCGAGCAGATCGATCGTCTCAACCGGCCCGAAGAATTCAGCCGAGGTAAGAGGATTACCACGGAACGGCCACAGATGCACGCCGATGCCCGCGGCATGCACAGTGACGTCGTGCACAGTGACGTCAAAACAGCATGGCGTTGCCCCACGACATACACTTGGTCTCCAAACTGGGGTCGAGCACGTGGCAAATGCGTACTGTTCAGTCATGCGGCGTTATTTTGTGTGCGAGGATCGGCGATCGAGATAAAACGCAGTCGGAGGTATCGCTTGGATCCACTCGCGGCGCATTGCTCGAGAGGCTACCACCGACGCACACTGCTCTGGAGCGAATGAACGCCAGCAGATGCCAGCAGTCTGTCTGAAACCGCAGGACATTCCTCGCATTTGAGGCACCGGCAGCCGGTTCCAGCTGTTCGTGTCAATGGTACCAGGGCTGAAGCTAATGGCCAAGATCTCGCAAATTTATTCCCATTTTTGCGAAACTATGCCCAAACATGTCTGATTAGTGTGTTTAATTTCAGTTTGATTGATTTACGACGTGTTATCAACCTTCAATCGCATACTCAATGTCCTCTGGATCCACGTTTGCACATTGCGGCGCTATATCATTTCGTTATGCTTAATGCATTTGCTCGTTTTGTCTAGGTATGGTGATGTTTTCCCTTGTCCCAACACAAAAATAGTCACACTCAAACAATTTCCTCCACCGTGCTTAATTGTCCGATACTTATAGGTGAGTATTATGTCTTGTTTATTCATGCATTCAAGATTGTAGAGCTCTGGAATATTTCCAACAATCAACGAATCATGTGAACCGTTGGTAGCTTGTTTTTATGTCTGGGCTATGCTAATTTTGTCAATGAACGTCAGCTATACCTCAAAGCTGGCTTAAATTTAATAAAATGTATGTATGTACTGAAGTTGACAAAGTCCCCAACAAATGCGGAGGTAGAATGCTACATATTCAAAGACCTAAGTGCTGCGAATGTCAACATCGAAATATCTCGTTGGATAGTACAGCCTAGGTTGTTCGGTAGCCCAAGCTATTTTTAAGCTTTGGAGGTCGCGAGCACATGCCAATCCCCCTCGGTGCCCGTCCTTCCTGCCAGGGTGAGAGGCAGGCGACGCCATATAGCCTCAGCAGCTGAGTGTGTCGTAAAGTCACAGTGACAACATGAACACATGCCAATAAGGCTCATAGACAGAACTGGTGACTTCACGGCGGGTTAAAAGTGCGTATTTCGTTGGCACCAAACAAATTAAAACTTGGTCGTTCAGATCAGCACCATCATTCTTATTTTCACCTTCCTAAAACGGAAAACAAATGGGACTTTCCCAACACTTTTTCAAACACTTTGCAAAATGCACGATGATAATCACTTGTGGTACCCGTTGAGATCCGGAAGAGGGTGAGGCGCGTGTCCGCGATCTCCGAACAACCGGCGGCGGTGCCTCCTGCCGCTGCTCGGGAGCTGTCCCCGGACCCGGCGGCCCAGCCTACCCCACGGCCGCTGCCAGGGTGCGCTTATAACCTGCCTTGTTTCACAGCTGTGGTTGAACCCGAATAAGAAGGCTGCGAAGCAATTGAAAGGTACGTATTGGGTGTAGTAGCTATTCGCAAGGACTCGATAAAAGCAGGGATATATTTGATCGATATGGTCAGCACCAATGCGTGTCTGTGACAAACGTTATTACGTTCTGCTGTGCGTTGTCTTGTCACACTTTGAATCGCATCTTGTTGCTGTCACCATTACGCTTCAAAGGTTTTCGATCAACTTGTCCTGGTTTCTGCGGTAGAGCACTGTGCGCTAAGTGTCATCACGGTCTTGTTCTCCTGAATTTGATATTTCGCTAGCGACATGACTCTATTGCATCTACGGGCGCGAAATCCGCAGCAGCAACATGATACTTGAGCATGTACTGATTTGGTCGCAGCAGCGACAATCACGGTCTGCCGAGACAGCTGAATGGCCGCTCCCACAATGCGTTATAATGTGTGCTCTGTTTTTTCAGGAACCGATCCATTTATTCTCTACTTTTGTGTCAAGTTCTATGCAACTGAGCCGTGCAAACTTCTAGATGAGATCACACGGTTAGTGGCGTCTTGAAAATTTTTCGTTGCATCATATGGCAAAACACTGCCTGCCGTTTCTTTGTTCTGCATTCAGTTCCACACTGAGAGAATGAAACACATGACAAGTTAACGTTAAGAATGAAAAGAAGTATATATATATATATATATATATATATATACGTATATATGAATATATATCATATAAGTAATATCTGACTTACATGTGCTTTTATATGCTGTTTTTTGTTGTGTCTGTCGTTGCCCAATTCCAATCAATCAATCTAAGATGCCAACGCGCTGCATACACACACACACCACACACACCCACACACACACACACACACACACACACCACACACACACACACACACACACCCACACCCACACACACCACACACACACACACACACACACACACACACCAACACACACACACCCACACACACAAACACACACACACACCACACCACACACACACACACACACACAC